CTGGACTATATAATAAGCCAAGTCTATACGACCTTTGAATCAAACGAACAATATAATTAAAAGGAATAATAAGAAAAAAGAAATCACGAAGTCTCGTGGAAAAAGAAGGGTAAGAAATTTGAATTTGTTGAACTCGCATCTTTTTGGAAAAAAAAAAAAAAAAAAAAAAAAAACTTTGTAGCAAATACTTAACGGAGAAAACGAGTATAAGCACGTACAAATATATATATATATATATATATCACACACACACACACACATCTATGTAATATTATATCTTGGTGCCGAAGGCATGATGTTGTCATGAAAAACGTTGCGAATTAAGTCATGGGAATTGTCAAATGGGATTCTGATGAGGAAGTCTTTAACAACCCCGATAGTGTATATCTTATTATCTGCTAAAACCGAATGATATTATAATATATTCCATGAGATTAGTCATTATTAATCAGCGCAAGAGTAAACAAATTAAAAGCTAATTAATCCATACGATTAATGACCAAGGATTCAGATATCGATAACGTTGGAGAATTTCACTATGGTGGAGGCAAAAATAAATAAATAAATAAATAGATAAATATTGTGGGAAAACAATATAAAGAAATAGGAGATGGTTCTTTTTGTTGAATGGGAGTATAGTACTTATAAATTTTAATTATCGAGCAAGTAAACAATTATAATTTCTTACAAATAAAAACACAATTACAATTTAAGTTTTGTTGTATAAACATTAACGCGTGCACGCGCGTATATATATATATATATATATATATATGCATAGATATAGGCACTTCCCGTTAACAAACGCCAAGGGATGATGGATTCATGGTCCAGAGAAATATTTTTCAAAAGAAAAGAAAAGGGTAGGTTTTTACAAATTAAATACGGGGCGTGATTTCGTGATTAATATCACTTATAATTAACTTACCAATTTATTGTTAAGAAAATGTTTGTTCTTTTATTTAAATTTTTATTTCTGAATTACAGACCAGTAAATGTTTTTTTTTTTTTTTTTTTTTTTTTTTTTTTTTAAATTTTTTTTTTTTAATTAAAAACCAATAAATTTTTTTTTTTTTTTTTTTTTTTTTTTTTTTTATAAGTTATCAATCTACAGACGGAGGGATTTCTAAACATCTGCAAGTACGTTACATATTGCACTAAAAGAAAGCTTAAAACATATTCTATGTAATTTAAAGTATATGGATCTTTTTTTTCTTTTATTATTATTTTTTTTTTTGCTGAATAAAAGTATATGGATCTTAAAGCTTTAAACTACATAGATTGAAAAAGTCTTCAAACTTTCGAAAGAATGTAGTACCCTTAGCTCCTAACATGCTTACTTTAAATATAATGGTGTATATTTTAGTCTATAAATATTATAATCAAATCGTACTACTTTTCAAGGAAATACGTCCTATTAGTTCCTTACTTTTAAAAGTTGACGAGGAGCCCCTAACATGCATACATACATACTTGACGACAAGGATTTTATGAAAGTTTATGAAACATATATCGTAATTGAGTTTAGAACTTTTTTTTTTTTTTGAGTTTCTCTTATAGAACTACCGATAGTTCTATTTTTTCAGCCATGGAATTTGTATCAGAAACTTTTTGCTCTGTATATTTTTTCAATCACATTTGATATTGACCAAATCCAACGGTCAAAAAACTGGTTCTACCGGTAGGACGGTCTACCGGAGACAGTCCTTTTTTATTTATTTATAGGGAATTTCTCTAGTCTCTCTTTTTTAGAAACATTAATGTTCCCTGCTTATCAGCCGTCAGATTTGTATTATTTTTTCAATTTAATTACGATTATAATATAATATATAATAATTAATATATTATATTAAAAAAAATATATTATAATTAATATATTATATGTAATGCGCTATAATAGATAATAATATTAGAATTATAAAATTATATTAATTATTATATCATATTATTAAAATAATTATAATATTATTATAAATTTATAATATCATATTATATGATAAAATAATAATATTAGAGTTATTAATGTAATTATGATATTATTTGTTACAATATTACTATTTCATTATATTATATTATATTATATTACGAGTTTAAATTTTAGATTGGGAAGATGTAAATTTTAATTTCATTAGGAGTATTATGGTTATTATGAAAGTTTCATTAATTGTACTATGCTGATTCCGGCACAATCTAAAAGCTAAAGTTGTGTTTAGGTTGTTTCTAATTTTGGCTGTAGATTCTTCAAAAAACACTTTTGAGGATATTTACCAAACACTAAAATGAGCTTTTATTACAAGTAGAAGCTGATTTTGGGAGTGAAAAACAATATGAAACCCAACCAAAGTCAAAGACACTTGTATTGTATGCCAAGGATCACCTAACGCACAACCAAGACACAACTCAAATGGGTGAGAACATAAAAATAAAATTGGAAGGTGAAAAAACCACCTTTGTTATAACAAATGAAGAACAAAAACACATCAAAAAACAACACTTGTGATTCAAAGCAAACGCATTGATTTTAACTAAAAAACTACCACTAAACAGAGACAAAACTCCAACACAGAAGCCATTGGAGCCAACTTGACCATTGTGAGTAAAAGAACCGGGGAACACAATGCTGCACAGGATCGGAACCACAGTGGAGAGAGCAACCCTTCGCCGGTGCAAAAGATCCACACTTTGCCACTTTCTGCAACCAAACAAGACATGCCACCCACCCAAATTTTCATGCGCTCCATAGTAGATGAATCTCCCAATAAGCAGATCTAGCCAAGTACTTGCATGCCTCTCCCTCACAAACATATCCGATAGTCCATTCCCGAGGCTGAGCAACCACCTACTCTCGCCTCCCATCCACGAGGCTGAACCTTCCTACGGAACCTTCAAGGTGGAGGCCAACTCTCTGTCTCTGAGGTTGAGATTCTAATGACAAGTCAAGCGGAGAGAGAGAGAGCATTTTGGCTTGTTCGGTTGCATTTTTGAGTTATAGTGACTTGAGTGTAGATCTTGAGTTGAGTTTGAGTTATAACTTGAGTTGAAATTGTAATTTGAGTTTGTGTTTGGATGTGCACATTTGAGTTATGGTTTGAATTGAGAATCTATTTGAGTTTGTGTTTGAGTGGGTTAAAACTTGAATTTGTATTTATATAGTATTTTAATAAAAACTCAATGGTGATAGAAAATTTTAATAGGGTATATGGGTGAGGTTTTATTCATCTTTTCGTTGTGAACGCATAGAAAAAAAATCATTTCAATCAGAATTAAAACGAAAAAGTTATGACGTTTTTAAGAATAGAAAAAATATTGTTCATTAACTTGAGTTTGAGTTTAAGAACTTGAGTTGAAGGGAAAACTTGAAGTCGGATTTTAATCCCAATTTAAGTTAAAACTCGAATTAAAACTCAAGTTTTAACTCAAATTTTATAAAAAAAAAAAATACGCACTTAAATAAAGTTGTAACTTAAGTTTAAATTTTTTTTGAGTTTTGGTCTAAAAGAGTTTTAACTCAAATTTTATAAAAAAATACGCACTTAAATAAAGTTGTAACTTGAGTTTAAATTTTTTTTGAGTTTTGGTCTAAAAGAAGCATTTGTTTTTCTTATTGGTGTCTATTAAAAGATGAAAAAATATAACCAAATTGACTTTATTCATTTCCTGATAAAGTGACAATAATCATTGCAAATAAAAAGAGCTCACAGTAGTTATACTTCTTTCGGGTTTAGCGGTTGTGTTTGGACACCTAAAGAAAATATCTCGTCATTTCAGATCACTCATCTAATTTTTTACATCTCAAATAGTGTTTAATCATTTTACCATATCACTAAATAGAATCAAACGTCAGAGCATGAAAAAATCAATTAAAAAGTATTTCAGAGTTTTTAAACACGGTTAATTATAATGCAATATTTATTAAGAAAAAATTTCATCAAAGTTAATTTTATTAAGAAAGAAAAAAATTCATGAATCATGCAGTTCTGTTCTGCCTTCTTCAAATGTTATTATTATAGGTGTAAGTGTTCACATGTCTTGCCATTTTAATTACTGACAAATTTCAATTTTAGCAACAACAGCAAGGTGTAAATTAATATGCTTGGCTGTCCATCAGTATGTGTCTTTCTATAAATGTGTAAAAGCACAATAAATCTTTGACTGTAGAGTTCTAGTGGAGTATTTAATAGTGAAGTCCTCGCGTTAATTACATCACAAACCCATATGAGTGGAAACAATAAATCTTGGTCTATTCTTTTATTTAAATGCCACTTCCCCATCAATATTGAGAATGGCATTTCAAATTGAGAATGCAAAATGTACACCTCTATTCTTCGGGATGTAAATTAGAAATTAAACCTTATTCGAATTCAACAAAATAGAAGAAGTGCCCTAAATTAAAAAAAAAAATGGTGGGAAATTCGAGTTTAGAATTCGAGTTTTGCTACAGTAAAAAGCTCTCAGAAACAGTCACATCTTACTTGTTTTGCTACAGTAAAAAGCTCTCACTTAAAGTCACATCTCAACTCGAATCAGCGAACTAAACTCGAACTAATAAGAAGGTTAAACCCTAAGCTTTATACTGTAAATTATGGAATACTATGCATCACGTAACCCACACCAAGAAGAAGATGGATCAAATCAAATGTATTAGCTTGTTGATGAGTGGAGAGGTCAAGCAGCCGTTAGGGAAATGTGAAAGGGCACTTAGTTTAACTTTAACGTTCACTACACTACAACACACGTATAACTTGAAGAGACTCCATATTAAGGGTCAACGGTCCTTTATTAATATTGGAATCAAATAATGCAATCTCTTTGAAATTTCCCAATAGACTTCCACTCAATTACACATCCTTTCTTTTCCCATTTCCCCCACCAAAATTATCATACATTACATGACCCTAATTTAATTCTTTGCCCAAAACAAAAATTAAAACTAATTTTGTTTTAATAACTTATGGCCACGATATCTTTTCTAACCACCATTTGTCCTATAAAACCCCTCCCAACACACTCTCTGAGTCCCATGTTCCATATTAAACATAGAAGTATAGAACTTCCTTCCCCATACCCACCCCAACCTCCTCCCCATCTCCTTAACTGATATCTCTCTTGTTCTTCTGCCATAAGTACCATTACACAAAAGGGCTCAACCCCATAAGGCAGAAACTGAGCAACAATACTATACTCATCATCATCAAATTATAGAATCAATCATGGACAAGCTTCCGAAATGTGAGGCGAATTATGTCCCTCTAAGCCCAACCAACTTCTTGAAGAGAGCTGCGGCCAGCTACGCCGACCGGACCTCGATCATATACGAAGGCACCCGCTTCACATGGCGCCAAACCTACGACCGCTGCCGCCGCCTCGCCTCCTCCCTCCGCTCTCTCAACGTCGTCAAGAACAATGTTGTAAGTAACTAGTTACCTTTCCATTTTCATTTTTCAGAGCCAAAAAGGAAAAAAAAAATTACCTTTGCTAATTCTACTTCAAGTATGAAGAAAGAACACTATTTCTTCCAATGAAAGTATACACGCCGTATGTGGTAGCTGTTCTTTTATTACTACTAGTATTTGTTTTTTTTTTTTTTTTTTGAAGTACTTGTCAAAGTAGGACGCATGAAAATGTGCTTATTTTTATTTTATTTTATTTTATTTTTTTCAAGTAGTGGTATGGAAAAGTATTAAACAAAATTTTCCAAGATTCCAATTTTTTTGTTTTTTTTGTTTTTTTCTTCTTCTTCAACGGCCGTAGCAAAAAAGATAAAGAAAATGACGGTTAAACTGTTTTTGGCCGATGAGTAATTTTTCCATTCTTTTCCACAGAATACTCAATATTGTTATGACTTTGATTTGTTTTCCCCACGTAATACACAAATTTGATGATCTCCATGTGTATATGCACAGGTATCGGTTTTGGCTCCAAATGTTCCGGCGATGTACGAGATGCACTTCGCTGTGCCGATGGCGGGGGCGGTGCTGAACACCATCAACACCCGCCTTGACGCGAAGAACATCGCCACCATTCTCCGCCACTCGGAGGCGAAGATCTTCTTCGTCGACTATCAATTAGTCCCCCAGGCGCGTGACGCCCTCCGTCTACTCACCTCCAGCACAAGCATGATCAACAACATGCCTCTAGTCATCGTCATCGACGACATCGACACCCCGACCGGAACCCGCCTCGGTGAGCTCGAATATGAGGATCTCATCCGAAAAGGGAATCCCACATTCGTCCCCATCGAGGCCGGCGACGAGTGGGACCCAATCGCCCTCAACTACACCTCTGGGACGACGTCGTCTCCTAAGGGAGTTGTGTACAGCCACAGAGGGGCCTACCTCAGCACTCTCAGCCTTATCCTCGGATGGGAGATGGGAAGCCACCCCGTTTACCTATGGACCCTCCCTATGTTCCACTGCAACGGGTGGACCTTCACCTGGGGCGTGGCAGCGCGTGGCGGCACGAATGTATGCCTCCGCAACACCACCGCCTACGACATCAACCGCAGCATCGCTCTCCACGGCGTCACCCACATGTGCTGCGCTCCAATCGTGTTCAACATCCTCCTCGACGCCAAACCCACCGAACGACGCCATATTCTCTCCCCAGTCGAAATCCTCACCGGCGGAGCTCCTCCGCCGGCGCCGCTTTTAGAAAAAATAGAATCTCTCGGCTTCCACGTCACCCATGCTTACGGGCTAACGGAAGCGACCGGGCCGGCTTTGGTCTGCGAGTGGCAGGCCCAATGGAACGATCTTCCGAAAGAAGACCAGGCCCGAATCAAGGCCCGGCAAGGGATCAGCATTCTGACTCTCGCCGAAGTCGATGTGAAGGATTTGAAAACTATGAAGAGCGTTCCGAAAGATGGGAAGACGATGGGGGAGATTGTTCTGCGAGGGAGTAGTATAATGAAAGGGTATTTGAAGGACACGGAAGCGACGGCGAAAGCGTTTAAAAACGGGTGGTTTTTGACCGGAGACGTTGGGGTGGTACACCCGGACGGGTATTTGGAGATAAAGGACCGGTCGAAGGACGTGATCATATCGGGTGGGGAGAACATAAGCAGTGTGGAGGTGGAGAGCGTGCTGTACAGGCACCCGAAGGTGCTGGAGGCGGCCGTGGTGGCGATGCCGCACCTGCGCTGGGGCGAGAGCCCCTGCGCTTTTGTGGCGCTGAAAAACGGCGGCGGTGGCATAAGCGAGACTGATATTATATCGTATTGTCGGAAGAATATGCCGCACTTTATGGTGCCGAAGAAGGTGGAGTTTCTGAAGGAGTTGCCGAAGACTTCGACGGGGAAGGTTCAGAAGTTCGAGCTGAGGGCTCTGGCCAAGACATTTACTGTGGTGGAGAGAGATCAGAGTAGTAGTCCTCCAAATTCCAGCCAGCTCGGAGACGGAGATCAGCAGATTATGGCCCTGTCCCGTCTTTGACTTTTTACATTTATTTTTTAATGGTCCGAGTAAAAAGTAAAGAAAATTGCTTTATAGCACCATTGACGTTGATTTCCACAATTAAAAGTCGATTTACCGACCTTATATTATATCGGTGTGGTGCCACCGGTGTCTCATGCTTTATATAAATATTTATAAAAAAATAAAATGTGTACAGTGTGTTTAATAGGGTGAAAGATCAGCTGGGGTGAGTGGAGTTTTGGGTCCGACTGTTTTTAAATGAATGGCTTTACTATGAGAGGCCAATATATTTTTTTTTCCTTGATTTGTATCTTTTATCTCAAAAGGACACTTAAAAATATAATTCTTATTTTTGTCTCATCTCTTAAAATTTTTTTTCCCTCCTCGCGGATTATAACAGATCATCTGGCGAGAGATGAATATTTTCCACGGTTGAGCGCAATTGGAGACTTGGACTACTGAGGGAGACTAAGTGGACTGCTGAAGGAGTAATGGATTTAAAAAAAAAAAAAAAAAAAAAAAAAAAAAACATTTTTTTTCGAACCTCTCAGTTTATCTCTATTACTGTATTAATTTGGCACACCAATATATAAATTGAGTTATTTTTTCTAATTTATTGTTGTGTGTATTTATTTTTCCCAACAATGTGGTGGATACTGGATACTTGTAGATCAACTGAAATGTTATAATTAATTTGCTATCCAAACCAGCAATAATTGGAAGTATAACTTGGAAGAGCTGGCGTTTATTATGAGTAAAAAGTTTCACGATGATATTATATTTACCTCAAATAATACTACTTCATGGTAAATGGTTCAAGAAACAGCAAGCATAAGATCACAACCTTGTTTTGTCGTCTGCTTGTATTTTGCACAAGAAATGAATAGGGATGTCATTGTATCTTCTCCTTGGATACGTGTACTCGTGGATACCCATCCCTATCATGAGGGCGGCATGAAGAGATTATATATATATTTAAGTTTTAGGCCCAAAAGTTCATGGATTTGAAAAATATTGTTGTTAACCGCATGGCTTAAAACCTTACTATAATCCGTTAAGAATCTCATTCGATGCATCATATGTGTTTAGGTCTAAGTTTCTTCTCAATTAACGACCAAGTAATTAAGTGCATTATTTCACTAATTTTACAGCAACATATTACATTGTTGATCTTCTCATTGAAGAATTATCAATGACCAACATGTGAACACCATTTGTGTTTTTAGAATAAATTAAGGACAATAATACGATGACTTTGATTTGGCCTACAAGGGCACCCAAATCCTATATACAGTTATAACTTTTGTTGATAACGACTATTTGAGTATATATGTAGATATATTATACATACATATATCTATATATATATATATATATATTATATACACACACTTTGACACTACTGGTTTCACTTTCACCTACTTGTTTTAACCAAATTATATGGATCCAACAAAGAAAGTAATAAATTCTATGGAAGATGGTTTTACTTTTTACTACTTCTAAAAGACGAGAAAATTTATTAGGCATCAGCTGCCCATGATGATGACTCTACCGCCTCCCGCCAGATATATTAGATAGTTACGGGTTTTTTTTTGTTTGTTTTTGTTTTTGAATGGAAACACAAATATAGTGTACGCTTATTACGCTTTACTGCTTTAGTGAAACACAAATTAATAGTAAACCTACCAATTAATGCTCTTCACATGTTCGACGATGATGATATGTGAAACCAATAATTCATGACTATCATTTCTTTATTAAACATTTTCTCCAACGTGGTTTTTGTTTGGAAATATTATAATACACACACACACACACGTATTTGGGTTTCAGTTATCAATCACATCCAACAAGTGTTAAAGGTCATTTACTGAAAAAAAAAAAAAAAAAAAAAAAGATTTTTTTTTTTTTTTTTAAAAAAAAAAAAAAAAAAAAAAAAAGATTTTTTTTTTTTTTTTGAAAAAAAAAATACGGGATTGCAGCGAAAAAGACCCATTTTAATGGTGTTTTTTAAAGAATGACCCAAGTTTTTTAAAATTAAAAAAAGGGCTGGCCATAAAAACAGAGGAAACTGAAAAGACTATTCTCCCCTAAAAATTCTAGCTTCTCCTCCTCTCTTATTCTAGCAGATCCAGCCATGGCCGTCCCAGCAGAGAGCGAGATGAGAGAGACGGGGGAGATGAACGAGTCTGCAAGAGAAAGAAATAGAGATGAGAGATGAGCGGTCTGCAAGAGAGAGGGAGAGAGAGTATGAGCGAGAGAAGGAAAGACAAACGAGGAGTAAAATTGGAAGGTAATTTTTAATTTGTATAACCAATCGAGAGATATATGCTAGAATTCTATTTAATAAATTAAAATTAATAAAATAATCTTCTTTATTTTCATGAAAAACGATCATCCGATTATTATTTATAAAAAGGAAAAAAATAATTATTTTTAATTAATTATTTTATAAATATAAATTTTAAAAAAATTATTTTGTTAATAAAATTTTCTTATTGAATTATTTTTACAAATGCCCCACCCACCACAAAAGAAAAAAGAAAGGAAAATATGCACTAAACACTAATCTGTGGAAAGAAGAAAAAAAAAATAGATGTGAGGAAGGAGTTCTGTTGGTTCTACATTGGGTTTCATGGTGTTTAAAGGTTTTTTTTTTTTTTTTTTCTCTTTTTTCATTGGGTCCTGCCGTCCTGGAGACATAAGCCCATATATGTATTTAAAATATTATGAGCTTGTTCGTAAAAAACTCAAAAAAAGACAATCTGAATTATAATTTTATTCAAGTTTATGTTCTTTTAAGTTTGAATTCGAGTTTAAATTTGAGTTTAAACTCAAGTTTAGGACTAAAACTCGAGTTCAAGTTTTCCCTTCAACTCGAGTTCAGAAACTCGAACTCAAATTAATTAACAGTGTTTTTTCTATTCTTAAAAATGTTATAACTTTTTCATTTTAATTCTGATTGAGATGATTTTTTTCTATGCGTTGACAACGAAAAGACGAATAAAATTCCACCCATATACCCTATTAAAATTTTCCATCAGTATTGAGTTTTTATTAAAATGCTATCTAAATACAAATTCAAGTTTTGACTCACTCAAACACAAACTCAAAAATATTCTTATCTCAAATCATAACTCAAATGTATACAACCAAACACAAACTCAAGTTACAAGTTCAACTCAAGTTATAACTTAAATTCAACTCAAGCAAAAAAAAAAAAAAAAACTTTAAAAGAACAAGCCCATCTCGTCACTCATAAAATGATAAAAAAAATAAAACCTCATGTAATGACCGGGAAAAATTTAGGTCTAATCTGGACAGTCCAGTATTTGACCGAAATTCTTTCCGGAATAGTAGTAGTAGAATTTTGATGTAATCAAGAAAATGTTATGTAAAAACTTTATGTACGGGGTAAAATCTCCCGAAAAGTATAAAGTTGTAATACGAATATTTTTATAAAGAAAATTCGTAAATATCACTTATGAATAGTGAGATATTAGTTAAAAGTTAAAAATTTTAGCGAGTATATTTAAGTTATGAAAAATTGAAATATTTGGTATGTGACTAAATGACCAGCTGGAAAAAGAATAGAAATATTAGAAGTAAGGAAAATAGCAAAAGTTCCTGAAACAGAATTTTTCTGAGTTAGTTTAAGCAGGAAACTGCTAAAAAAGAGTACCGCAAGGATACGCGTTTAGGGCAATTCTGAATCAATTAAAATGATAATTTCAGAAAAAGAAATTGACCAATGAGATACCTAAGAGAAATGGGTTGAATATGAGAAGTTTGACCCAGGATACTCGACAGTCCAGAAAAGCAAGTTGAACAAAGTTATAGTATATGTGTATATATATATATATATATATTATATAAATGATTATTTCTAAGTACGAAATTAGTTTATCTAAAATAATATATATATATATATATACGCAAGATTATATGTAAATTGGTGACTCACGTTATTACCATGAGGTGGAGATTGTTGTCCCGAATAAGGCTACCCAAGAGGGGGGGAATTGGGTTTTGAATATTTTTTGAGAGTTTATACGATTATTTGAAGATTAAAACTAAATATAGACAATTAATTGAACAATGTACTTTTATCAAACACTTGGTGTACAAAAAATTATGTAAGTTAATAATACTTGGAGACTCACTTGACTTTTAAGTATATACTTCATTACACATAAACAACAAAAAAAAACTTGCTAATGCCAACGTGAAGCATAACAGCGGAAAGTTTTGGAAAAAAAAACGTGAGAAAGTGACGAAGAAAAAAAACAGAGAGTTGTTAGAGAGAGACAGAGAAAGGAAAATTAAGCATTTTCATTGAGATTTCTGCCGTTTAGTCCGGTAGAAACGTGACCTGAGGCGTTCTAGCGGAGAAACCTCAACTTCTGGAGGTAAGATTTTAGAGTTTTGTTGAGAATTCTATATTTTCTTGATTTAGATGAATAGTAACCCATCTCAGAAAAAAACTTCTGTTAAAGTGAAAATTGAAACTGAGGTTTTGTAGAGTATCGTAATAAGAGTTTAACGGTGTAAGTGTTAAGACGATTGAATAAAGTTTTGGTGGATTTCTATCGAAAATCCGTGAGCTTAGATTAAGGAAGAACATATGTTTTGTTCAATTTTATGTTGGAATCTGTGTTCAGGAATGTAAATCTTGACTCCATGTACCGAAATCAGAAGTAAAACGAGTTATTAAAAACTCGGGAAATGAGAAAAATAAGGCGAAACTCTGCCAAAATTTAGTTCGAGTAATTTAAACTAAAACTGGATTTCAAGAGGAATATAGGATTAAAGTGTGAAAAGAAAGATGTTTCGATAATCGGTGATGGTTAGAAACCGAACACAACGAGAATTCACAGTTTTAGACCAAAATTGAAAATTAGGCCCATGACTGAGTAATTTGCACGATTTTAGTGCAAATCCTTGAGATAGGAAATAGTTTGAGATTGAATACC